TGTTCCAAATGAACAGTTTCATTTATAAGAGAAGAAGGCAGGGGAGGAGGCCAGGGGGATCTCCTTGGGCAGTCGATAGTGGAGGGGGAAGGGCGACAATCAATGGGCTTCCCTAGCAAAGGTAAGGAAGAGAAAAGATTGCATAGTTCTCTTTGGCCTTTGAGTCTCACCTGCAACCTGCTCTGCGCGTCTGCTGTGATGTATCTGTGTGCAAGTCCTTCAAGACCGTCGTACTCAAAACCCATTATTCTGTATATAGTTCTCATTCTATCTTCTTCAATATTGATCTCGTCTTCAGTATTCTCCTCGACCACTTCGCCATCCTGGGAAATGGAGGGGGTTGACATTTGTGCTACAGGTTTAGCTTAGGAGGAAAAAGGGGGTGGATGGACGGATGGGTAGATATCAGAGGGTAGGGCAGGGAGGGGCAAAACACCTGGGGTAGAGTTAATAAGGGTATGCTAGGGAGTCCCTGAATTCTCCGTAGTATCCACGGGTAGAAGAGGCGAAATAAGGGAAGGGTTAGGTGGTCGATGCTGCAGAGGATTAAGGCTAGGGATAGCAGCAGGGTCAAGGGGTGAAGCAGTGGGTAGTCGATCGGGAGAAAGGATAAAGTAGGAAGGTAGGTGAGATATTGGTGAGTCTGGATGGATGTGTAAGAGGAAAGAAAAACGGGGGAATTGGGGGGCCAAACATAGTGAATACTTTGAGGCCTGTGGATGTGGACCAGGTGTGGGGTAAAGGAGAGGTGTGGTGCCAGAAGATCGGCGATAGATGCCGAGGGGTGGGGTTTAAAGACTGGGCAGCAACAATGCCCAAAGGATAAGATTCTCGATTCATCTTCTGTTAAGAAGAAGGCTTTTGACCCTAGGGGAGAAGGAAGTCAAGGTTGAGGGGGTAGAAAGAGAGAGAGAGAGAACAGGGAGAGGGAGGAGGAGAGACCAACCAAGAGGAAGACAGAGACAGGGGGGGAGAGTCGCCTGGGTAGCAGTTGGCAGAGAAATTTCGTGCACTACCTCTGGCCAGGGATCGAGGCTCTGCGCATGCACAGAGGAGGTTGGAGGAGGCGAAACTGAGGGGGGAACAGTAGTCAGGGTGGTCTCGGTCTTTAACTCTGACCCAGATTCATGGCTCTGCAGCTGCGAAGTGGACTTCTGAGGGGGCTAGACCGGCCGAGTAGGGGAAGACGAAGAGGTGAGGCCCAACAAAGGTAGCTGATGGGAGAGGTTTGGCTGACGCGCCGACGGAAGTACTGAAGAGGTAGTCGATGGGGACAAGTGGGTGGGATGAGACAGTCGCGGCGGCATAAACGCAGTTGTGGGCTGGATGGCTGCCAGGTGGCAAGAATAAGGCAGCTCGAGGAGCTCAAAGTCTCGGGGCCCTGGACGGTCGGGTAACGGGTCTGGGCTAGGAGGAAGATTGGGGGGGTGAACAGAGGAGTGAGGGCCGAGTAAGGCGCCAACATCGAGAGAGAGAGGGGCTCCAATACCGCAAAGGATAGGCGAAGGTGAGGCATCAACAAAGGCTGACACCTGGGGAGAAGAAGGGGGGAAGGCGGTAATGGACGGGGACAGCTGGGGGACACCTGACTACGATGGATGTAACGTGGAGCCCGAGGTAGACAAATGGAGGGGGTTGGACAGCTGTGATAGGCACGGGAGGGTAGAAGGGGTGCCGTCACCAGGTTTGTGGGATTAGGTGTCTCAAGGGGACGCGTGGCAGGCAAAGGGGAAGAGTGAAGGGCAGAGATAGAGGCGGTGGGAAAAGGAGGAAACGGATAGGGTAAAAGAGGTGGGCCAGGTGAGAGCGTGTGAGGGGGATAAGAGGAAGATGGGTCGGGTCGATCACCCCAACCTCGAGAAGGGTGGGGGGGGGGGGAGGGATCCTCAACCACCTCTTTCTCGAATCGTTGGATCAACGCGGGCTCGGAAAGTTGTACCGCTCCACGACTCGGATAAAAAATTGAGTCAGGTGCAGAGAACGGTTTCGAGGCGGACGCATCCAAAACCGAAAGAGAGGCCAACCCCCTGTTCTAGTTCCGGAGCTGTGGGCGAGGGCGCCAGACATTTTTCTGGGGCAGATGATCCAAGGGGGGCACCTTAGAGAAAGTTTTATCGGGTGGTCGCCGGTGGGGCCACTCACGGTTGTGTTTTTTCCTAGTCACCACCATCCACTGCTGAGAAGAGTTTCCGTTGTAGGAACCAGGTGGGATTGTTGAAGGAAATTGGGGGAGGGGGGTGAAGCCGAAGTCCAGGAGGTTGAGAGAGGGTAATAGAAATTATTTATTTTGAGCCATACCGTTTGAGGAATCGAAGTGGTGTCCAGGACTTCTAGCAAAAGTCGAATGGAGCCCAAAGGTAGAGACTCCAAGGAGATCCAGTGGATGAACACGAGATTGCCGCAAGCTGTCGCTACTCTCTTAAAGGTCTCTGGTGACCATGCATGAAGCGGTAAGTGATGGAGGGTGAGCCAAACCTTTGTTTCCTGAAAGAGCCTTCTTTTGGTGACCACCGCCGAAGAGAGCAACAGGCTCCTTTGAACGACGGGTTAGAGGTTTTGAGTAGAGCTAAATTAGCTTCTTCTTGAGAGTAGAAGGAAAAAACCAAATCTCCACAAGAGAGACGTCTACATACTAAGTTGGGTTCCTCCTAGAGGCTTCTGGCCCACCTTTCGATTCCTCTTAAGTCATCTCGTTCCGGTTGAAAACTACCAATTAAGGAAGCAGAAAGTTTTTTGGTGAGTCTCTGTCTCCTCCAAAGTGTGGTGATACAAAATGGTAGGTAGGGGGAGACCACAGGGGAGACAGGAGGACTGCTAGGGACCTGAGAAACGGGTTAGATTTGGGAGACGAAACAACTTGCACAAAAGAGGATTTGTGGGTAAAGGCCGGTGGCAAAGAGTTCAGAGGGGGGGGGGGACGATGCAGATGTGTTTTAGGATACAAGGCATTGATGTCGCTCCAGGTGGTAGGAGGGAGGCAGGGGCGATTAAGCGACCTCCGATTCCTTCCTTTCATGTCTCCACAGCCTCTATGTATTAACCTCTTGGGGATCTTGATCCCTACCTTTTGGGATCTTGATCCCAACCTTTTGGGGATCTTGCTCCAAACCTCAAAGAATATGTGGGTGGACCCTTTCACTCTATATTATTATATATGCTTAGCAAAAAACTCTTTAAAATAGCGATATCTTTATTTATAGACTATTGATGTGCAGTTTATTTTTAGTTTAGTACATAAATATACAAAGGAGGGGGGTAAATAATACGTTTCTCAAGTAGTTACAGGTATGGCCAATATGGCAACTGCTTATTAGTGGTGAAGAGAATACACATATTTGGACACCCTGCACAGCGACTACATTAACCTCATGCTTAAGGCAATAAGCAAGTTGACAGTAGTCAACACAACAATGAAGATAGCAAGAGCTATTACTATGTTTATATACGACAACACCCAAGTCTTAGCCATGATGATGAAGTTTACAAAAAGAGGGAGTTAGTAAGGTCAGGGGGGGACTAGATCTGCTGCTTCCTATTGTCATTGCATTACATATTGGCCTAGAGAGCAAAGCACAGTGACACGTATTTCCCTAAAGAATGGGCCAAAAGCCAATGGTCTACGCACATGCAAAGGGGAAGAGAACAGTTGATATGGGACCAAAGCGAGTAACTGACTTTTTTCCTAGTCCTTTACTCCTAACTTCCTAAGCAGAGTCTTCATGTCCCTTTAGGGAATCCCTAACCCCTAAATTATATTATACTTTTCTAAATTCTAATCATGCATTCATGCATTATCCAACTGATGCATACAATAACGAGAAACAAGCTCGAGCAAAAGAGACCGCACGATGTTGTTTACATTCAGTATAATCAGAGGTTAAAAGCGCGAGATCAACATCACCATCAACACGACCCCATTTCTGTAAGACATATTGATTATTTCGATGACTGATTGGCCAATGCTGGAGATCATGCAATATTCCGTAAAGAGAATTTGAGCTGGAGACAAGTTCAAAAGGTTATTGCAACCCCATTAAGCCCTATGCCAGCCACCAATCTAAATCTAAAAGGAAGGCCATGAGAAGATAAGGGGAGGAGGAGACTCACTCAGAGAAGACTGAGGAAGAAGAGCAATATGTCGAAGTGGATGACTTGATAATGATTGCTTGGCATCATTAGATTCAGATACATCTGGTGGTGGTTGTCGAGATGGAGATGATGGTGTGGAGATGGAGATGATGGTGTTCGTGGTGTTGGTGGTGGTGAATATGATGAGGTAATCAATTTGAGATTTGAGCTTATAAAATTTGTTGTCTTGTTTTGCTGTTTTACATTTAAGTCTTTGAATTTTGACTTTTATGACTTTCAGAAACATGCTGATCAACATAGATTGTGGAGTGTAGACTAACTATGGCATATTGAAATTGTTTAATGATCCATAAAATTTTGTATAAATTTTAAGCAAGTTTCACTCTTCTAAAGTTTTAATTATTCAATTTCACGATTCAAACTCATGTATATATGACTTTAAAAATTGTTTCCTTTATTGACTACTACTTAAGTTCAACTAGGGTGTTCGGTATCCAACCCAAACCTCCCAACAACACCCTTAGGTTCACCCCTCTCCGCTCGGGCCGCCTCGAAAGCTAGCCACGTACTGGCTACCCAGGCGGCCAAATCCGTTTATTAAAATACTAAGTATAGCAATGGTTATAGTAAAAAGGTCCTCAGCAGCATTATTCAATGACCCGTTAGTATCATCTTTCTTGCTTAACTTCATCACATCTTGCCCTTCACGTTTTGTTATCATATCAAAAATAGTCAACATCAATAGGTTTTACCGAAGAAGTTAACAAAATCTTCATTTTAAATAAATTACAAGAAAAGCCAAACTACAAAGTATGAGCAAATAAGTTGAATAGCAAAAACATATGCAGCCAACATCACTAGGCTGACCTCGTAATGAACAAAAACTACATTAAAAAGGGAACAACACATGCCTGCAAGCATAAAATACTTGGCTTATAACATTTAATCTCCTCATGTAGCAGATTCTTCCTCCAGTCCCAATTTAAAATTTGTGGCGAAACATGATGATAGAGGTCCATGTGCTTTAAGACATTGTCGACTCCTAATATGTTATAGGAGACAATCACAAACCTATCTGCAATATGCGAAACTCCTGTTATCACTTGAGAAGGTTTCTGCCACAACTGATCACAAATCACAAACATATAGATTGCACAGTGATGGAAATTTCATAACAAAGTTACAGACAACAAAAAGTAAAACAAACTGAGTTCAATTTTTTCATTCATTGAGAGTCAGAAATACACACTAACATAATTCCTGTAGTACATGATTTATCAAGCATTACTTGCTAAAGAATTTATGGGAAGGCCAGATGTCAGAATGCAAATTTGTCAGATATATAACATGGAAAGAGTTACATAAGGATGCTG